GATGTAAATGAGAATATGAGTGCGTGTGTCCGTGTGAGTGGGAGCGTGAGTGTGAATATAAGCGGGATTGAAAGTGTGAACGAGAATGTGAGTGAAGGTGTGTGTGAGTGCGAGTGTTTGTGTCAGTATAAGTGAGATTGTAAGTGTGAATGCTGCTGTGAATGAGAATACAAGTGCGTGTGTCCGTGTGAGTGGGAGTGTGAGTGTGAATATAAGTGGGATTGTAAGTGTAAACCAGAATGTGAGTGAAAGTGTGTGTGAGTGTGAATATAAGCGGGATTGGAAGTGTGAACGAGAATGTGAGTGAAAGTGTGTGTGAGTGTGAATATTTGTGTCAGTGTAAGTAAGATTATAAGTGTGAATGCTGCTGTAAATGAGAATACAAGTGGGATGTCAGTGTGAGTGGGAGCGCGAGTGTGAATATAAGTGAGATTGGAAGCGTGAACAAGAATTAGAGTATAAATGTGTGTGTTTGTGTCAGTATAAGTGAGATTGTAAGTGTGAATGCTGCTGTGAATGAGAATATGAATGTGGCTGTCAGTGTGAGTGCGAGCGTGAGTGTGAATACAAGTGGGATTGTAAGTGTGAACGAGAATGTGAGTGGAAGTGTGTGTGTGAGTATGAATCTGAGTGCATTTCTAGAGCGAGTGCAAATGTGATTTTGATTTCGATTTGGACTGCGTGTGAATGTGGGTGTGGATAGAGCTGTGATTGCCATTGCGATTGCTTCTGCAAGTGCGGTGTAGCACAGAGGCTGAAGTACCAAAAACGACAAACTTACTCTGTCCAAATGTCGGCTCCTTCAGACGTGGGTCGGCGTCCCGTCCAACCGGGCTACCGGACAAGCCGTCATTGTACCGTAGCGAAGTGAGGGCCAGCAGTTTCAGAGCCTCCAGCTCGGCCGCGGAGACATCCGATTGGTCGAGTCGCCGTAGCACCGACTGGAGACTGTCCAATTGGCGGGCAAATTGGCATTTCTCTGTGTCTGCGTGTGTCATAATCAGGGCAATTATGTTTGTTTGTGCGAGGGGACAAAGAAAGTTGTACTTCCATAAAACACACTTTCAAGCTGTCTCGTCTCAAATTCTCACAAAACTCCAATCTTGAAGCTTTAATCTTTTGCTGTACCTTTCAATTAGTATGATAAGATGTGTAGAAGAGATTTGGTTATTTCTGCCAATAAAGCTCTCCAGTCGCATTCTCAAAACAAATTAAATGTATCAAAATTATCAGTTATTCTAGTTACTCTATATTACTTTCCCACACTCAAATGATTAAGTCACATAAAACTACAAGATTGAACTCGGATGTCAGGTTCGACCTCGCCTGGGACACACCGGCATTTTCAGCAATATCTGAAATCGGAGCTTGAGTATGATATGATTACATGTCCACACCTAGCCACACAAGCATGGATACCAGATGGGCTCAAGGGTAGATGTAGCATATAAAGCGAGTCAGGCCTCTGCTAAATCATACTTTATGGGGCGCTTTCCGAATGAGCAGATATCAACTTGAAATCACACCCTCTGTGCGTGTGAAATTGTCAATTGGTTGTATAAGCTTACACTATGAATCACAGAATAAATGCTGATTTCCGATGGATTCCTTAATGCTTCCATGCGATTGGACCGTTTATTTTGTTTGGTACTTTAGCCGGGCGGGATTCGTAGACTAGCCTCATCCGGTACCGAATGAGCAGCAGCTGAATTGTGACAACCTCGCATATTTCTTACAGCCAAACGTTGCGACGTTAACGAGGTGGCCTATAAGTTGTTTTTGTGGTAACTGAAGCTGAAAAGAATTCGAAGATTGGTCTCATCAGGCAGCGTAAGTGAAGTAATGCCCTGCAGTTTAGACTGTCGCCTTTTATGAATCACACTCCGACCTCATTTCGTCAGAAATCAGCTTTCGTCTGCAGTCTCCTTTCCTTCTAAACAAGTTGTTTGACCTTGTTTTCGCAACTCGGTCATGTTGGTAGGGAGACTTGTAGGAACGCACCTTGTCCTAAGTCCATTGTATGCATCATCATTTCCAGAGTAGGATCGTGGACTTGGTACATTCCTACTCTGGAAATAATGATGCATACAATGGACTCAGAACAAGGTGCCTTCCTCTGAGTCTTCCTACCAAAATGACCAAGTTTCGAAAACAAGGTCAAACAACTTCTATTCCGATGTATTACTTGTATTACGTGTAAACGTTAATACACACACAAATACACACAATCAAGGAAAAATTGCCACGAGCAATATGAAAGGGAATTAGACAAAGTATTCTATATATATCTATGTTTGGCTTTTAGTTATGAGTAAATATAATATAGATCCATACAGTCTTCTTGACTATTTTTTTAAATTTGTAAGTAGTGTTTTGAGACTACTCGTAAATCGTGACAATGTGGCGAGATTGTACACTGCACGGTCATGGTTCGAGTCCCACTGGGGATGTTGATTTGTAAGTAGTGTTTTGAGACTACTCGTAAATCGTGGCAATGTGGCCAGATTGTACACTGCACGGTCATGGTTCGAGTCCCGCTGGGGATGTTGATAAGACCGAGGCGAGGTCGAAAATGCAGTCTATTTCAGTCGGGATGGAAACACCTTTTGGGAAGGCAGGGCAGTGTGAAAGGCTCTACTCATATGATTGTGGGCAAATTCAGCCATCAATCCTTCATCACCTTAGATGAAATGGGGTGAAAAAATCTAATATTCTCGACTTTGTGTTTGCTAATTTGAGACTTTTACAAGAATGAATGCCAGCTTTGATGATGTCCATTACATGCTGGACGAAAGCTCAGCTCGTTGTTACTCGAAACGAGCACGGATGTCTCGAGCAATGCGTCAACCTGTACGTCCTAATCACTCCAAAGTGTGTTGTGCCTACTTCCATGTCGAGTGAAAGTGTTTGGTGAATTGAGCCGAATGTGGATTCCACAAGAAGACGACAGCGGCTTTACTGGCACATTGATGCTGACGCTGTTTCCGTGGTCATCTTCTTCGATTCCGGTGAAAAGGTGCTGAGCTTTTGTCCGTCATATGACGAACATTATCCGAGCAAGGTATCGTCGTCGCAATCAAATTCAAGCTAACGAGTCAAGAATGCCTTGCTCTGATGATGTTCGTCACATGACGAACGAAAGCTTGGCACCTTTTGACCGGAATCGAAGGAGATTGCCTCGGAGACAGCGTCAGCATGAATGTTTCAGTAAAGCCAATCCACAACTGGTCAAGAGGAATGCGTTGTTGATCGTCTTCTGGTGGAATAGGCCTTCGAATCTGTTCACCAAACACTTTCACCCGAAATGGAAGTAAGCACAACATGTGCAACTGGTCGGACAAGTTAGGCATGAAACGACACCAAAACAAAAAATAAAATAATGTATTTATGCAATGAAGACGATGTGGGCATATTTAAAGTCTCTTCATGTATCAACAAACATGTCAGGCGAAGTGTCAAGTTGTCAAACCTGTAATGAATAAATCATTTATATCACAAAATCAGGCACTAAAATTTCTATGCGAATTTGTGTGTCCCAGTTGACCTTCACATAACCTTGACTTCCCAAATGGTATTCTCATTTAGACTTGAATGGACTGCAGTTTCAACCTCACCTGAACTGCTCTCATCAGCAATCCGTGCGGGACTCGAACCATGACAGTGCAGCCTGTCATCTCGTCACGTTGGCCACTACGTCACAGCTCATATATTTGACTTATCGATAGTCTCGAGATGCTACTTATAAACGAAAGATAAGTAGTATATTCGATTGCTATAGGAAAACAACTTTGCCTCATCCACAACCCCACCACAGAATGTGATATGGAAAAAAAATGGCTGGCCTTCCTTGCAATTCGCATCTGCCCTTTAACTTAAGGACACTTAAAGCAATTCGGTTTGATGTTTAACGTTTCTAGATTATTCTCTGCCCTTTCATGGTTCAGGTGCCGCACGGGGTGCTGATGAGACCAGTTCAGGTGAGGTTAAACCTACATTCCATTCAAGTCTCGATGAGAATAGCTTTTGAGAAATCAAGGTATTGTGAAAGTCAACTGGGACGCCAGCTCTATTCAACATCTTACAGATAATCTATCTGCTTTACGGGTAGTCTTGAAATCCTACTTACAAACGAAATATAAACGATTCGGTACAACTTCTTGATGCCTAACAAAGCATATAAGGATTCGGTACATTTACATTCTCGCCGCGGGGTCCCGTGAACCCGAGCAATCTGAGGGAGGGGTACTTTACGAATCCTTTGGGTTTGTCTCTTCTTTTAACGAATCAAAGTGGACATTTCTTCTGCTTTACTCAGCCAGGGACTAGGCGACACTGACGCCAACTCACTCACCCGTTGCCCCGAGACTGGGATCTTCTGCCAAAAGCCGTCGAAGCGGCAACAGAATCGCCTCGTACCAATTTCCGTGCCCCTTTTGCATGGAGCCCTCGATGCCTGGCTCCGAACGCCTCCAGCTTGCCTCGTCTCTGTCGCTGTCCCCACCCTCCTCGCCATCCCCGCCGTAATCAGTCTCAGCGTTGACGTCGCCGTCGCCGTCGGCGTCGGCGTCGCCCACCCTTCGCCTTCTTCTCCTCCTCCTCCTCCTCGCCGTCTCCGCTCCCGTCAGCACCACCAACAGGTCCATGTTGGCCGCAGTCAGACGAGCCAATTGGGCGACATCGAGGCCGGTCTGTCCCTTTGCAGCCTGATTGGCTGAGCCCGGCGTCGGCCCGACGGCCCGGCCAGGACTGACCAATCCGAGGCGGCGGTCGGGCCGCTGGGCGCCGAGCCAAGCCAGGCAGTGGAAGAGCAACGAACTGACGCCATCCACGGCCCAGGGCGGCTCTGCTGACGGCGAATTCGCCGTCGCCGTCGCCGTCGCCTCGGTTTCACAGAACGTGTGAAGCGGCGCAACGGCCTTCGACTTGACGACGACTTGGTGGACAGTCTCGCCGTCGCCGTCGCCGTCGCCGTCGTTGTCTGCCGAACTGAGCGAGCTGACGTGGCTGGCGGCGGAAGGGAAGAGGGGCGGGCGGAAGAGGGGCGGTGGGAGGGAGTCGGACGGGGCTCTGGGCGACAGGGTCGAGCTGAAGGGCCGGAAGACGTCGGCGGCTTCTGCGAGGCTCGCGGAAGCAGGGCCCGATCGTTCGAGTCCCGGAGCCGATGGAAACGAGAACAACTGACCGACCGAGAAGTCAAGCGGCGCCGGCGCCGGCACCGGCTTGAAGGCGTCCTCCGGAAACGGCCCTTTTGACCGCAAGTGGAGCGGAACGGGAACGAAAGGGTGGGACAAAGTGGAAAAGTGGGAGAAGCGGTTAGTGGATGGGAGGCGGTGGGATCGCGCTCTCTGTCGTTGCGGACCGTCTCGACCGCCAATCGGGGGGGGGCAGTTTCCGTCGGCCTGCGTCGTTTAGATGGGTTCCGGAGCGAATTCCATGGCATGGCATGGTTGCGGATACTTTCATGTCGTGCAAAATTGCAAAATTGCTGTTCTGTACCAGTTTGGCCTACGAGACATTCACCCTCGGATAAGTGTATACATACATAAGTAGACACGAGTAGTTTAAACATAATCGCCCTAACGTACATAAAAGCAAATTACAAAGTTATAAAGTATCTTTCTAGTCATCCATATAGCGAAAAGATATTTTATGCATTAGCTCATTTTTATTTTTCGAATTAAGTATTCTTTTCGTGACTACCAGTAAATCAGTAGTATGACATGCATTCACCCAATTTCATTTAAGCTGATGAAGGACTCCGGTAGAAGGAGAATTTTCCCACAATGTTATGAGTTGAGCTGACTATGTGCAATTCAATGGAAGCGTCAGCTCAACTCATAGCATTATGGGAAAATTCTCCTTCAACTTAAACGAAATTGGGTGAATACATCTCATATTAGCTTATTTTTGTTATGCAAAAATAGGGACTCTCCTATTTCACAATTGTTTAGCTTACATCCATTTCGAGTGAACGTGTTGGATGAAGAGATTTCCACTTCGGTCCAACCAGAAAACGAATGGAGCATTCTTGTTGACAGCGTTTCCGAAGCAATCTCATTCGAAGAAAAGTTGGGTTTCAAGGAATCTCTTGTTTCATAATTGTTAAGATTACTTTCAT